TCTCTGTGCCTGTGTGCTCGCGGGCATGAGCATGTGCGTGCGCACTGCTCCTGGGATTTGAACCCAGGGCCCAGGCTCTGTCCCTGAGCTTTTGTGCCCAAGGCTAGCATTCTACCACTTGAGCCACAGCTCTACTTCCAGCTTTTTAGTGATTAATTAGAGGTAAGAGTCTCTCGAACTTTCCTGCATACACTGGCTTTGAACGTTGATCCACAGATCAGTTTCCTGAGTAAGCAGGATTAGAGGTGTGAGCCACCAGTGCCCAGAGAAAGGAGTGTCTGCAGACAGGAGACCCTGCCTGGGGCGGGAGCAGGAAACGGCTGTATAGCTCCTGGTCCACATTTTCCTCAACCAGCTCAGGCCTCTTCTACTTGAAAGGCCACAAAAACCCAGGATATGGCATCAGGCCCCTTCTGGAACTCACCTGCAGGACAGAGCAGGCAGCACCGGCCATCAGACCAGTACTCGCCCGGGCTGCAGGGCTCAGGCCCACCCAGCTGTGCGCGGCGCTCTGAACGTAGTTGGGTTGTGGTGGCGACCTTGGGGTAGAGAGACAAGAACTGTCTTATTGACAAACCACATCTGTGGTTTCTCCACAGGTGACAGGAAGGATGGTGGGGAGGAAGCAGGAATCTGTGGCTTACATAGGCACGGGTGGCCAGACGGGAGCTCTCCAAAGCCGGTCCTGGACCTTGGGGCCTGTGCTCCCAGAGAAGGCCCAGCAGGTGGCAGTAACTGGTCCTTGTGAGGGAACACCCCCTCTCCTCCAACCTGGACTGTGTAAGGGTCCTCGGAGGAGCCGGTCAGCACCATTTTTTTCTCCTTTCCTGAACGTGTTAGCTCTGCTAACAATACATCTTGTCTCTCCTCTGACTTTTTTGTTGGTGTGGTCTTTTGGGCACCTTTTTCCCCTTCAGTCATTTGCTACTTTTCTGTGTGCCTGTGTGTGTGCCAGTTCTGGGGCTTGAACTCAGGGCCTGGGCGCTGTCCGTGCTCTATCATTGAACCACAGCTCCACTTCTGAAGCTTTTTGGAAGTGTTAGGTTTAGCAAAGCTTTACCACAATTGAAACAACACACAACAATCATTTATCTTATTTCCTCTGGAAAAATATCCCAAAGGGCATTTCACAGCCACTGCAGACTCAGTTTCCCAATGGATAGCCATCACTGCTCTTTCTGACTTCCTTTGGTTTTTATTTTGGCAGTGCTGGGGTTTGAACTCAGGGCCTTGTGCTTGCGAGGCAGGTGCTCTACCACTTGAGCTATGCCTAATTTTTTATTTAAAGTGGGAATTCACATTTATGCCAAGGACCCACCTGGACTTTGATCTTCCTATTTAAGCTCCATGTATATCCCAGGTGACAGGTGTACACCACAGAGCTCAACTTATTGGTTGAGACAGGGTCTTGTGATTTTTTTTCCAAGCCTAGCCTCAAACCTGATCTCCACTTCTGAGGAGAGTGTAAGGCTCCACCCCTGACTTGATAAAAAAGAAAAAATTACACAGAAAATACTAGGAGAGGAAGGAGGGGGTGACACGGGTCAAGATGCATGGTACACATAAATTGACATCTTGAATTAAAACCCCCCTTTGTGTGTGTGTGTGTCCTGGGGCTTGAACTCAGGACCTGGGTGCTGCACTCTACCACTTGAGCTAGGGCATCATTGTGGCCTTTTCTGTGTATGTGATACTGAGGAACTGAACCCGGGGCTTCATGCATGCGAAGCAAGCACTCTACCACTAAGCCACGTTCCCAGCCCTCCCCAAGCTTTTTGCTCAAGGACAGCCCGCTACCACTTGAGCCCCAGCTCTACTTCTAACTTTTTTGGTAATCAACTCGAAACAACAGTCTCTGGGACTGAGATCCTCGGAGCTCAGCTTCCCAGCTAACGAGGATTACAGGTGGGGCCACCCTGGCATTTGCACCACTTTTTTTTTTTTTTTTTTGCCGGTCCTGGGGCTCGAATTTTGGACCCGGGTGCTGATTTCCTTTAGTTCATTTCCAACTTCCGTGATTAATTGGATATAAGAGTCTCATGGATTTCCGGCCCAGGCTGGCGGCCGGTGCCAGGGTTTGCTTGGCTCCTCAGCTGAAGGCGCTAGCACCCTCCACTGGAGCAACGCCCAACTTCCGACCTTTTGATCCAACCCCTCCAACCCCGCTCCCTGACCCCCCCCCACTTTCGGAGCTCGAGCTTCCCCCCCCCCAAGCCCACTCCCGGAGAGGTGCGTACCTCCACCCTCCCCCCGTCCCCCATCCCGGAGAGGGGCGCGCCTCCCCCCCCCCCCGTCCCCCATCCCGGAGAGGGGCGCGCCTCCCCCCCCTCCGTCCCCCATCCCGGAGAGGGCGCGCCTCCCCCCCACCCCGCCCCGGAGAGGGGCGCGCCTCCCCCCCCCCCGTCCCCCATCCCGGAGAGGGCGCGCCTCCCCCCCCCCCCCGTCCCCCATCCCGGAGAGGGCGCGCCTCCCCCCACCCCGCCCCGGAGAGGGCGCGCCTCCCCCCACCCCGCCCCGGAGAGGGGCGCGCCTCCCCCCCCCCCGTCCCCCATCCCGGAGAGAGCGCGCCTCCCCCCCCCGTCCCCCATCCCGGAGAGGGCGCGCCTCCCCCCACCCCGCCCCGGAGAGGGCGCGCCTCCCCCCCCCCCGTCTCCCATCCCGGAGAGGGCGCGCCTCCCCCCACCCCGTCCCGGAGAGGGGCGCGTCTCCCCGGAGCCCGGGTCCGCTCCCAGCCCAAGCCAGTGGCAGGCAGGTGCTCGCGGACGCCCGCGGCCAGGGCCGAGGCTCTGGGTCCCCCCCGCGGCTTCCTCCTCCCGGGGCCTGGCTCGTGAGCCCGCCGGGCAGCTCCGGGGACCCGGCCACGGGGTCCGACCGCGTCCGGCAGCGCGCCCCGCGCCCGCTCTCCGCACCCCGCGCCCGGCCCCGATCCCGCCGCGAGGCTCCGCTCACCTGGGTCAGGAGCACGAGCAGCCACCTCCGAACGCGCGCCCGGCCCGCGGCCATGCGCCCAGGGTCCCCGCGCGCCCGGTCGCCCCGCTCTCCGGGTCCTCTCCGGCCCCCGGTCCACGCTGGTCTGCAGGCCCGTCTGCCGTCTCGCGGCCACTACAGTCGCCGGGCCCCGCCCCTTACCCAGGGCCCCGCCCCTTGTCTATGGGCCCCGCCCCCTCCGGCTCCGCTCCGGTCTTCCCGCCACCCAGGCCGGAAGGCTTCCGTAGGTTGTCAGCCATGGGTGGGGCTGGCTTTCCCCAGAGCACACATCTCACCTCCAGGGCAAGGCACCGCACTCATCGGGTGTAGCTGGCTCGTGGCACACTGTTCCGGCCTCGCGGTCCCCGGCCCCGCGGTCCCCCGGCGTCTCTGGACTTCCGGAAACACCGCAGCTCGGGGCGCCCTCGGAGCCCAGCTGGCGAATCCGCGTGGGCCTGCGCGCACGCTCCTCCCACGCTTTGCGCAGGCTCCACCCCCCACGCTTTGCGCAGGCTCCACCCCCCACGCTTTGCGCAGGCTCCACCCCCCACGCTTTGCGCAGGCTCCACCCCCCACGCTGACATGTCTGCAAATGAAAACCACGGGCGGCAGGCGGAGCCCTGCAGGCCGTGAGCGCGCTTGCGGCTTCCGGCCCTGTTTTGCTCGGCTTTCTTGAGTCAGGTGGGACTTTTTTTTGTTTTGTTTGTTTTTTGGGTCCGGTCGTGGGGCCTGAACTCTGGGCCAGGGCGCTGTCTGTCCCTCGGCTCTTCAGCGCAAGGCTGGCGCTCTACCACTGAGCCACCTTCCCAGCCCCTCAGGTGGAAGTTTGAGGCGGGTGGGGGTGCAGCCTCTGCCGTGAAGAGGGAGTCAGTTTGGGGGGCGTTTTAGACCCCACTCAGGACCTAGCGTTTGCTTAGGCAGGTGCTGCACCGCTTGAGCCAGGCCCCAGCCCGAAATCCCGGGTAAACATGCCAGGTCAGGGGCCCGGGGTTCTGGCCCTGGGGCTTTGGAGGCTGTCTGGGCTGGCACCATAATGGCTTCGGTCGGGGCCTGGTGTGTGTCTCTCTGCTCCAGAGCGCTCCACAGGCCGCTTACCAGGCTCCCGAGGGGCAGGCTGGCCCTTTCTTCTGGAAGGGGCTCCCCGTGGCTGCTTTGGCCTCTCCAGCTTTCCTGGCAGAGTAGCTGTGTTATCGCACACTTGCCTCTCTAACATACCAGCGTTTTTCATTGGGTTTTGGGTGCTGGTCTTGAGGCTTGAATGCAGATCCTGGGTGCTGTTCCTGAGGCCTTTTGCTCAAGGCTGGTGCTCTATCATTTGAGTCACAGCTCCACTTCTGGCTTTCTGGTGGTTAATTGGAGAGGACTTCCCTCCCAGCGTTATTTGGAACTGTGATGCTGAGATGTCAGCCTCCAGAGCAGCTCCGAGGACAGGAATGAGCCACCTGTGCCTGTCCTTGTTCTGTTTCGTATTTTTGAGATAGGGTCCTGATAATCACCTTGTCTTCAGTTAAGCTTCTGGGCTCCAGCAAACCTCTTGCCCTGGCCTGAGGGAGAGCCTGCCTGCTTGTCTTTAAAGGGCTTTTGTGTTTTTAAAACTTGAGATAAGGGTGTGGATGTGGAAGAGTGTCAAAGTGCTTGCCCAACACATACTAGGCCTTGTGTTTGATCTCTATTCTAGACTCAGGTGCTGGGTGCTGTCCCTGAGCCCCGTTTACTCATGATCAGTGCTCTACCATTTGAGGCACAGCTCTACTTCTGGCTTTTTTTTTTTTTTTCCAAGTTTAGTGGAAATAAGAGGTTCACAGACTTTCCTGGCCGGGATGGCTTTGAACTGTGGTCCTAAGCGCTCACAGTGAAGGAGGGGACTATGCCAGGATCAGCACAGGCAATCTTGAGTTTTGCCCTACTCGCCTGCCAGTGCAGGAGGCCAGCTATCTGCTCCCCACTGTCAACTCCACACCGTTTGCTCTTGACATCCCCAAGCTGGTTATCCACTCTCCTTGGGAACCCCCATTCCCCACAACTCCCCACAGAACAGGCAACATGAGTTTCCATTTATTCAAGGCAAAGAATCTAGACATGTTCCCAACAGGAGATGTGAAGACAAGAACTGGGTACAAACTTGGAAAATGAAATGACCAGCTACGGCTGGGATGACACCCACAGATTAGTTTAAGGCTCCGAATGTGAATCCGGGTAGATGCTGACACGCACACTCACTCGCTCTCTCACACACACACACACACACACACACAGCGCCACTGACGGCCACCAGGCGCCGACCACTGCAGGCAGCGGCTCCAATATTGCAGTTATGTGTAAAAAAAGGGAACAGGAAGACTATGCGGCAGGCTGCGGCCCCGTCCTCTGGGGCTCCATGCCCCACTTGCTGTCCCCAGGGCACACCCCGGCCGCCGCTGAGCTCTGGCTGCTGGGCTGGGGATGGTCTGGTACCTACCTGTCTTTGCTCCCATCCAAAGAACGCCATGGCGGGTGAGAGCCCCGCTGTCCTCCCCACGGTGGCCCCAGGACCTCAGCAGCGTGGCTGGGTCTCAGGCTGAGGAGCCGGGTGGCTGCTGGCTCTTTGCTTCAGCCTGCTTCTGGACCCCTCCTGGCTCACTGCCACTGTGGTGTGGCCATGCAAAGCCTTGGGCAGCCCCTCTGTCCCCCAGATCCATCCATGCCATGTCGCAAGTGTGGGCGTGAGGACCAGGGACAGGTACAGAGCAGAAGCTGAATTTGGCTTTAGCATTAAGGCCGGTGCTGGGCAGAGGGCCCCATGGGAGAGGCCAGGGTCCCACCCCCGCTCGGTCCCACAGCACACTGGGGTCACAGAGCCCTGGCGGCCGCAGGCCCTGCCTGCTGTCCCCTGTGTGCCGTCCTCTCTGCTTCCTGGGTCTGGCATAAAGTGCTGGGTGCCTGGGAGGCAGATGGGCAGACAATACCCCTGTCCCCAGTCTCAAAGAGCTCTTATTTAAGGATGTAGTTCATGAAGAGCTGGCAGGACAGGAACACACAGAGCAGAAACCAGGTGCGGGGGCTGTGCAGGAGGCTTGGGGCTGGTGCCTGTCTGGTCCGAACTGTGCAGCTCAGGATGGCCGAGAGGTGCCTGGAATGCATGACAGGAGAGGGAGCTGTGTGGGAGCTGCACTGCCTGCCTGCCTGCCCCCCTCCCTGTGCCCGGCCAGGTGCTGGTGTCCAGGAGAGAGGGAGTCAGGACGGCATGTTCCACCTGAGGGGTCAGGGCTGTACGTGGGGCAGAGGGCTAGCTAGTGCCCGCGGCCAGGCATGCCGCTGTGCTGGGCTTCTCTGTGCACTTTCCGGGGGGGGGGGGGAGGGGCTGGGCTCTGGCATCCTTGCTGACACCCCTGTGGGGAGAGCAAGCTGTAAGCTACAGCCCTGGCCCTGGGACCCGGATTGTGCTGGGCTGGTGCTGGTGACTGGAGTGGGAATTAAACTACAGTAAGGTCACAGGGCCCAAGTTCATGGGATGATGATGAGGCCTGTCATCCTAGCTACTCAGGAGGCTGAGATCGAGGATCAAGGTTCAAAGCCAGCCCAGCCAGGAAAGTCTGTGAGACTCTTAGCTCCAATGAACCACCCAAAAGCAGGAAGTGGAGCTGTAGCTTAGGTGGTAGAGCAGTGGCCTTGAGTGAAAACGCTCAGGGACAGGGCTCAGGCTGAGTTCAAGGCCAGCACTGGCCGCCCCCATCCCTCCTGATGCCATATGTTGGCAGAGGAGAGGAGCCTCAGCAGAGGTGAGCTCGGCGGCCCCGTGTCCAGCATCCTCCTGGACAGAGATACTGGATGTGTCTGCTCATGCAGCCCTGGTCTGGGGCCTCTGGACTTGGCTATGAGAGTCTGCTTCAGTCTAGTTGCACTTCCTGGCCATCTCAGCTTCTCTCTGGTGGCCCCTGTCCCTATATACACTGGAGCTGTACCCAAGTCCCCACCCAGTTCCTCCTGTAGCTTCCTTGAAGCTCAGGCTCAATGTCAGCTGAGCCTGGGCAGCTGGCCGGCTCAGCCAGCTCCTGCTTGGCAGCCTGTCCCAGCCCTGCTTTCTTCCCGCCTCCGGGGTGGGGCAGCCTGGCTACCTGTGCAGCTCCTGCTGGGTCTCCCGGATGGACAGCATGGCCTCCTGCAGTGCCCACAGCCGCTGGGCCTCCTTCCTGCACCCGGGGCACGGGCTCTCACTGCCTGGATGTGGGGGACCAGAAATAGAAGATGGGAGACGCCATGGGTAAGCTGGGGTTGGGGGGGGCGAAGCCTGTGCGGACCATGTCTCGTTGCTTGCGACACCTGTGGGAGCCAGCCCGGGGCAGGGGGGAGGCGGGGAGAGGCGTGGGGGGCAGTTGGGGAACGAGTTCAGGCCCTCTAGCAAGCCCTGGGAGGCCGCAGAGGCAGGACTCGCGGGGGACACGGCTGTCCGTCGCAGGAAAGGCACGGAGGCCTGGCTTGCCTCTTCCATGCCTCTGCAGCCCAGGCGTCCCTGCATGGTCCCTAGCTCTCCCTCCCCCTGCCACCCCAGCTGCATCCTCACTAGCCCCTTGGCCATGCTCATGGAGCCCCGGGGGCGGCGGGGCTGGTGATGCCGGCACTTCTCAGGCCCTGGCCATCCTGCAGAGGGACTGCTGGTAGAGCTGACGTCTCCCTCCCACCCTTCAAGATGCCCACCAGGGCCTGGCCGCAGGATGGCTCACCAGGAACAAAGTCCCCATCCTCATCTGACAGTTCCGGGCAGGACTCTGGCGTCGAACCGCTGCTCTCGGTGACCTGGCTGTGGCCAGACGGCTGGTCGCTTGCCTTGCGGATTCTCCGGTCTGGGCCGGGCCTCTGTGGAGAGAAAAGCCATGGCAGGGGCATCCCCTCACTCCACCCTCTCTCAGGAATATGGCACCTGACACCAGGCTGGCACCAGACATGGAGAAGGAAGCTGGTGGCTCTGCAGTTGACCCAGGGTGGCTTGAATCTCCACTCTGGCATGAACTAGAGCAGCCACATTGTTTCTCTGGGCCTCAGTGTCCCCTTGGTGACTCTGCAGGGGTGAGGGCTCTGCCTGTGCAGAGTACCCCCAGGATGTGGTGAGTGTGGACTGGGCCTCGGCGGATGTGTCCCCAACGCTATTCCTCGCGGGAGGCGTCTCCCCTACTTCCTCCGGAGGCTCCCTGCCTTCCCTCTTGCCTGCCCCAGGCTCCCAATGTGTGCAATGCGGGCTGCCCCTCCGGCCCCCGGGCGGCCATGGGCGGCCCGAGCTGTCGCTCGCCTGTGCACTACAGCGCCTGGCAGAGACTGGCTTTGAGAGGGGAGCGCACTTGCGCTCGCACGCATCCTGCAGCCCGGGCAGCGTGGGCCTTGCTGGACAGGGAGGGGCGGGCAGCCAGGGGTGGAGGCCCGCGGTGGGCTGGGGAAGGGAGCGTGGCAGAGCTGGTCTCAGAGGCAGGGGAGCTGGGTGAGAGATGGTGTGGGGAGAAGGCGCTGGGCTGGGGACGGGGTGGGGCGCTGACCTCGTGCCCGGGTCCTGGGCTGCCCAGGAGGGTGGCCTGGTGGACCATGGTCTCCCGCCTCTGGGTGTGTAGGACTCCGTCTTTCTCAAACTGCGCCATGTCCTTCAGGGGGTCCCAAGGGCTGTGGCTGGGGGGGTCCACAGGGGTCCGTCGGCTGCGGCAGTGGCTCCAGAGGACCCTAGCTGCTCTGGCCCAGGCCTCAGCCTCCCATGGTGACCCAGGGGTGGCCTCCGTTCAGGGGACTCCAGGGAGGGCTACAGGGGCCTCGCGTGACCGTCCCTCCCGTCCGGGCCTGGCTGGGAGCAGAGCCTGGAGCCCCGGGGCGCAGGGACAGCGGCAGCCTGCCGGGGCCGCCCCAGGCCCGGGCCGCGGGCTCTCCACGGCCCACTCACTTCTCGTAGCGGTAGTGCCACTCCTGGGTGAGCGGGTCTAGGCGGAACAGCTGTGGCTTCCAGGGGGTGAGGGTCTGCTGGCGCTGGCGCGAGCGCTGCCGCTGCGCCTCCTCCAGCGCCGACTTCTCCCGCGTGGCCTTGTGCTGGTCGCCCTCCCGGATGGCCCTGGTGACGTGCTGCCAGAGCCTGGGGGGGACCGGTGCTCAGCCAGCCTGCGCTCTGCCACAGGCACAGGCAGCACCCCTGCCTGACGCCCGTGCCCGCGGGGGGCCGGGGCCCGCGGGGAGCTGGGCGAGGGCAAGGCCTCACCTCTCCGACTCCAGCTCGCCTTGCTCTTCCAACAGCACTGTGTGCCGCTTCAGCCTCTGTCCACGGACCTCCTCACTCGGGCTCCAGAAGAGCTCGCTGCTTCCGCGGCCTTCCTCCTTGATAAACACATCTCCGTCCTGCCCCGGATGGCCAGGTGGGGTCAGAGCGGCCGGCCTGCGCAGAGGCCGCCCTGGGCCCAACGAGGCTGGCCGAGGAGCGCGTCCTTACCCAGTGTCCGGTGAGCCGCGCCAGGACCTCCTCTCCCAACGTCACTGTGCCTGACACCTGGTTGATGCTGGCACTACCTCCAAAGAAAGGCTGCAGGACAGACCCAGGACAGACAGACGCCAGGTGAGACAGCAGGAGGAGGCAGCTCTATCCAGAGACCCATCCTTGGGCACAGAGTGGTCACTGTCCCCACCACGGCTGGGACGAGGCTGCTTCCCCCCAGGGCCCCGTGCTCACGGTGGCAGTGGCCCGGCTATGCCTGTCCTGGCTTTGCTGTGTGACCTGACGGCAGCCCTTGCCCTCTATGTCCTTGGGATGTGAAGTGCCGCAATGTCTCCGGGGCACACAGGACCCCCAAGGCCTCGCTCCTCCGCGGGAGCCCGGCCTGCCCGCCGCAGCTGCACCTGTACCTTGAGCTTGAACTCCAGCTCGGCTTGGAGGCTGTTCTTCTCACACGTGATGCTCACTTTCCCCCCCAGCTCCAGAGACATGGTTCCATACAGGATCCCTGAAAAGCGCCGGGGTAGTGGGTGAGGCCTGGCTGTACTGAGCCCGAGGGGGAGGGGACACCCCCAGGGGCAGAGCTGGCACAGGGCAGGGCTCCTCTGAGGAGCTAGGGCGGGCCTGTTGCTGATTGACATCCCTGGGGAGGGGCCCTGGTCCTCCCTCGGTTTTGCTCAGGGCCAGGAGCTCCCACACCCAGGAAGCTCAGGCCACACTCCCCTGAGACTCTCACGGCATCTGTCACAGGCACGTGCCACCGTGCCCAGGCCCTGTCCTCAGGCCAGGCATCCTCTGCCCCAGATGGGTCCCAGGATGGTGCCCAGCACACTGAACACTCAGTGCAGCTTCCTGTCCAGGAGTGAAGGGCAGGAGTCTTCCCACTCTGGCCACAGTGAAAGCCCCCCCCCCACAGCAGTGAGAGCCCCCCACAGCAGTGAGAGCCCCCCACCCACAGCAGTGAGAGCCCCCCACAGCAGTGAGAGCCCCCCCACAGCAGTGAGAGCCCCCCCACAGCAGTGAGAGCCCCCCCCACAGCAGTGAGAGCCCCCCACAGCAGTGAGAGCCCCCCCACAGCAGTGAGAGCCCCCCCCACAGCAGAGAGCCCCCCACCCACAGCAGTGAGAGCCCCCCACCCACAGCAGTGAGAGCCCCCCCACAGCAGTGAGAGCCCCCCCACAGCAGTGAGAGCCCCCCCTACAGCAGTGAGAGCCCCCCCACAGCAAGGCAGTGCTGGGAGGAAAACTTGCAGCTTCAGAGTTGACAAAGACTGAGCTAATGAGTAAGTAGCCTGATGGTGCACCTCACGCTTCTACTAGAACTGTGAAGAAGCCAAGCCCCAAGTTAGCAGATGAAGAGAAATTGCCAAGATTACGGCAGAAAGGAATGAAACAGAGACTAGAAAACAAAGTGATACAGGGCTGGGAAGGTGGCTCAGTGATAGAGTGTTTGCTTGCATGGATGAGGCCCTGGGTTCAATTCCTCAGCACCACATAAGCAGAAAAAGCCAGAAGTGGTGCTGTGGCTCAAGCGGTAGAGTGCTTGCCTTGAGCTGAAGAGCTGAGGGACAGCGCCCAGGCCCAGAGCTCAGACCCCATGACTGACAAAAAAAAAAAAAAGATACAAAGAATCAATAAAAATTGTATTTTTAAAATTAAGATGAATAAACCTCTAGCTAATTTGACCAAAAAGAAGTGAAGAGACTAAAATTAATGAAATTAGAGATGAAAAGTGAGTATCACAACAAATACCAAAGAAATCCAAAGAATCATGAAGGAATACTTCAAAAAACTACACTCAAAGAAACTGGAAAATCCAGAACAAATATCTACATTCACATGCTCGGCCTACCAAAGCTGAATCAGGAGGAGATGAACCACGATCAATAAATCTATAAGAAGCAATGAGGCTGAAGCAGAATAAAGACTTGCCCAACAAAGAGAAGTGGACTGGATGGCTTTAGTGCCAAATTCCATCAGACCTTTAAGAAGAGCTAACACCAGCACTCCTCCGACTCTTCCGTGAAGCCAGTGTTACACTCGTGCCAACACTGGTCAGAGACTGAAGAAAAGGGAACTGTACACCAATCTCACTGATGAACTTGCATGCAGAAATTCTCCTCGGAAACTCTTCCAAGCCGGGCACTGGTGGCTCATGCCTGTAATTCTAGCTACTGACATGTGAAGATCACAGTTCAAAGCCAGATGGGGCAGGAAAGCACATGAGACTCTTTTTTGTTGTTGTTGTTTGCTTTTTTTTGTCGGTCGGGGGGCTTGAACTCTGGGCTTGGGTGCTGTCCTTGTGCTCTTCAGCTCAAGGCGAGCGTTCTGCCACTTGAGCCACAGCACCACTTCCGGTTTTCTAGCGGTTTATTGGAGATAAGAGTCTCACGAACTTTCCTGCCCGGGCTGGCTTTGAACCATGATCCTCAGATTTCAGCCTCCTGAGTAGCCCGGCACCCGGCTTGCCCATGAGACTCTTATCTCCAGTTAACCACCAGAAGACTAGAAGTGGTGCTGTGGTTCAAATGGTGGAGCACTAGACTTGAGCGAAAAAGCTCAGAGACACTACCCAGGCCCTGAGTTCAAGCCCCATAACCAACAAACAAGCAAAAATTCTTCCAAACTGAATCCAACAATTCAAGACACATTAAGTCCCAACGTCATTCTTCACAAAAATAGAAAAATCAATCAAAAAATTCATGTGAAGCATGAAAGACTATCAATAGCAAAAGCCATCTAGAGTAAAAAGAGCAGTGCTGGAAGCTATCATGATACTAGACTTCAAGTTATATTACACAGCCAAAATAATCTTGGTACTGGCACAAAAGCAGATGTGCAGAGAATAGAAGATCTGGGTATAAAACCACACAGCTGTGATTTTTATTTCTTTATTCCAGAAGCAAAACCACTCAGTGGAGAAAGGGCAGACTCTACATGGACTGGTGCACCAGAGATGATCATCCACCTGCAGGAGCCTCAAACTTGACTCCCATCTCTTACTGTGTACCTAAATCAGCTCCAGTTAGATCAAAAAAGTAAGATCTGGCCAGTCACTGGAGGCTGAGATCTGAGAATCGCAGTTTGAAGCCAGTCCAGACAGGAAAGTCTGTGAGACTCATCTCCAATAAACTACTCAGAAAAAGCCAGAAGTGGCACTGTGGCTCAGGCAGAGGAGCAGCGAGAAAATCTCAGGGACAGTACCCAAGTCCTGAGTTCAAACCCCAGGGCTGGCACACAACATGCAAACAATCTGAAACTTCAAATCTACTGCAGGAAAATGTGGGGAAAATGCTGGAAGATACAGGTATAAGGAATTATTTTCTGAGTGGGATTCCTATTGCCCAGTAAATAAGAACAAGGATGGACAGATAGGACATCAAGTTTAAAAGCTGCTGACAAGCAAAAAAAAGAAGAAGAAGAAAAAAAAAAACACCAAAAAATGATTAGAGCCAGGAGACAATCCACAGAATGGGAAGAGAAATCTTTACCAGGTATGCAGCAAAATGATATCCAGAATACACAAAGAACTAAAAACAAAACACAAAACAGCAAAAGAACAATCACTAATAATAGATGGGCAAGTGAATCTAAACAGGCATCTCTCAGAAGCAGACGTACAAATGGCTGGTAAGTGACTAGATGCTCAGCCTCCTCACACGAAAAGAAACGCAAATCAAAACCACACTAAATTCCATCTGACCCAGGTGGACTAGCAGCCACGAAGAGCAAAACCGCAGCGATGTCTGCCGGTGAGGATGTGGGGAAAGGGATCTCTCACAGGGTTGGTGGAAGTCGGTGTGGAAGCTGCTCAAGAAAACAGTCTCACAAAATGGCGCGCATCTTCTCCCCTGCGTGGAAGCCAGATCTAAAACACGCCGCACACGATACCGGTGTGGGACCCTAGGCGTCCGCAGCACACAGACAAGGAGGTACTCTGTGGGGCAACTCTTTTGAACATCTGAAATACTATGTATCAAAACGAATTCCAGGAAAGGGAAGCATGCATTTTTTTGTTGTTATTGTTTGTTGTTGTTTTGCTTTTGGATTTGTCTCTTTGAGGGGGCAAAAGGGGAGCACAGAAATGGAGGCAGGAAGGATGAACAAATGCAGATGTGGCATGCCGTAGACACCGTGTGGAAAGCGAAAAATGTGCCCACAAGCAACTTGTAGGCAGGGATGGGACAGGGAAACGGGGAAAGCAAAGAAGGGCGTGTCCAAAAAGAACCTGACGTATTCAATGGTGACGCCTCTATACATTCAGTAATAACAATAAAATTACATTTTTAAAAATAAGCCAGGTGCCAGTGGCTCACGCCGGTACTCAGGAAGCTGAGATGGGAGGATCTTAGTTCAAAGCCAGCCCAGGCAGGAAAGTCCGTGAGACTCTTATCTCCAATAAATCTCTAGAAAACTGGAAGTGGCTCTGTGGCTCAAGTGGTAGAGCGCTAGCCTTGAGCTGAAGAGCATAGGGACAGCGGTCAGACCCTGAAGTTCAAGCCCCATAACCGACAAAAATAAATAAGTAAAATAAAATAAAATCATTATTCTTTTTTTTTTTTTTTTTTGCCAGTGCTGGGGCTTGAACTCAGAGCCTGGGGATTGTCCTTGACCTTCTTTTGCTCAAGGCTGACACTCTACCACTTGAGCCACATTGCCACTTCTAGCCTTTTCTGTTTATGTGGTACTGAAGAATTGAATCCAGGGCTTCATGCATGCTAAACCAACACTCTACCACTGAGCCACCTTCCCAGCCCTAAAATTATTACTCTTGCCAGGAGCAGGTGGCTCACACCTGTAGTCCTAGCTACTCAGGAGGCTGAGATCTGAGGATCATGGTTCAAAGCCAGCCCGGGCAGGAAAGTCCATGAGACTCTTATCTCCAAAAAATCTCTAGAAAACTGGAAGTGGCTCTGTGGCTCAAGCGGTAGAGCGCTAACCTTGAGCTGAAGAGCTGAGGGACAGCGCCCAGGCCCAGAGTTCAAGCCCCACGACCGACAAAAAAAAAAAGGGAAAAAAAGATCATTACTCTTTAAAAAAAGTCTAATTAAAAAGTAACCCTGGACAAAGCCGTGAGAACACAGAGCACCAGAGACAGAGACCTGGGGGGATCTCCGGGGGCAGTAGGGCCGGCCACGGGGCAGCAGCTGACCATCTACCACCCTGGCAGCCACACACACAATGCCCTCAAAAGGAAGAAAGTCAACACTCAGCCTGATGAGCCAAGGCACAATATGAATTTTTTTGTATGTCTGCTTGCACTGGTCCTGGGCTCGAACTCAGGGCCTGGACACTCTAAGCTCTCATGCTCAAGGCTAGAGTTCTACTACTTCTGGCTTTTGGTGATTAACTGGAGGTAAGCGTTTCACTTACTTTCCTGCCTAGGCTGACTCTAGGCTGTGATCCTCAGATCTCAGCCTCCTGAGTAGCTAGGATTAGAGTCGTGAGCCACTGACACCTGCCTTTTGTTGTGCCTGTACTGGGGCTTGAACTCAGGGCCTGGATGCTGTCCCTTAGCTTTTTCACTCAAGGCTGGCACTCTAGCCCTTGAGCCACAGCTCCACTCTGGCCTTTGCTGGTTAATTGGAGATAAGGATCTCAGAGACTTTCCTGCTTGGGTTGGCTTCTCACTATGATCCTCAGATCTCAGTCTTCTGAGGATTATAGGGGTGAGCACCTAGCACCCAGCAAAAATATGGGCATCTTTAAACCAAAAGATACCAAAGTGTCTGCCGTGACAGCCCTGTAGAGGGCGAGTCCGGGCCCCACTCTCACCTCTGCAGTGGGCATAGGGCATGGTGAGGGTGTACTCCTCCCCGCGCTGCAGCAACGTGAGCGTGGCCTTGCCGTCCAGGAGGGCTGACAGGGAGTTCCCTGCAGAGGTGGGGCGAGATGGGGGAGGACTGGTGAGTGCAGACAGCCCCTGGCACACAGCCAGCCACCAGCCGCCAGCCGCCAGCCCCAGCCGGAGTTCCCGGCACCTCCCGAGGGGCAGCTCTGAGTCTCACATTCCACAAAAGAAAGCCCTGTCCAGTGGGCGCCAGCCTCCATCCTCAGAGGGGATTTAGCCTGCCGCAGGATAATGGCGTGTTTAACTTACTCAAACCAGGGGCCACAAGTGGAGGCCCCTCATGGATAGTGTGTGTGTGTGTGTGTGTGTGTGCGTGTGTGCGTGTGTGGTGTGTGTGTGTGGTGTGTGTGTGCGTGTGTGGTGTGTGTGTGTGTGTGTGTGCGCGCGTGTGTGCGTGTGTGGTGTGTGTGTGTGGTGTGTGTGCGTGTGTGGTGTGTGGTGTGTGTGTGTGTGTGTGTGCGCGCGCGTGTGTGCGTGTGTGGTGTGTGTGTGTGGTGTGTGTGCGTGTGTGGTGTGTGGTGTGTGTGTGTGTGTTGTGGTGTGTTGTGTGTGTGTGTGCGTGTGTGGTGTGTGTGTGTGTTGTGGTGTGTGTGTGTTGTGTGTGTGTGTTGTGGTGTGTGTGTGTGTGTTGTGTGTGTGTGTTGTGTGTGTGTGTTGTGGTGTGTGTGTGTGTTGTGGTGTGTGTTGTGGTGTGTTGTGTTGTGGTGTGTGTGTGTGTTGTGGTGTGTGTGTGTGTTGTGGTGTGTGTGTGTGTGTTGTGGTGTGTGTGTGTGTGTGTGTTGTGGTGTGTGTGTTGTGGTGTGTGTGTGTGGTGTGTGTGTGTGGCGTGTGTTGTGGTGTGTGTGTGTGTGTTGTGGTGTGTGCGTGTGTGTTGTGGTGTGTGTGTGTGTGTGTGTGTGCTGTCACTGGGGCTTGAACTCAGGGCCTTTAGTGTTTTCACTCAAGGTTGGCACTCTACTACTTGAGCTGCAGTCAACTGGAGATAGTTCTCCTGGGTGCTCCTGCCTGGGCTGGCTTCAGTTGTCCGATCGCAGCCTCCTTGAGTAACTAGGATTACAGGCGAGAGCTGCTGGCACTAACTGAGTCTACTGATTTATTTGCTTGGATTTACACATGCTTGCAGGGCTGGAGATGGAAGTCAGGGCCCCTGCAGTGCTAGATCAGCACTTTACCTCTGAGCGCCAGCCCGGGCCCCCTCTAAACCTATGCAAGTGGCTGGTGGCTGTGGCTGGACGGCGTGGCTCTGGACTGCGTCCTTGTAAGGTTCTCCTCCCCCACACTCCTCATGAGTTCTCTGCAGTCCTGAGCTGAGGGTGATGAGATCCAGATGCAGGATCTGAGTGTGTCCCCCCCCCCCCATAAGGGACAGGGGAGGCATGTCAGGGCATCACTGAGGCGCTGGAGCCTGGACCTCCCCTCACTTCTCTGAGACCCAGGAAGCACGGAGGAGCCCCCCTCCTCACCGTAGAACCTCGACTTGGCTGTGATGCTGCCGCTGATGCAGAACCCATCCTTCCGGTTGCTGACATGGAAGGCGGACACAGGCGGGTGGTGGGACACCTAGGAGTAAAGAAGGCTCTGGAGACGGCTGGGAGAGCAGAAGCACGCTCCCCTCCCCTCCCCGCCCTACCCCAGGGGCAGGCGTGAGGGCATTGGCAGGGGACCTCAGGGAAACAGGGCCTGGAAGCAGACTCGAATCCCGCAGCACCCGCTGAGTGTCCCCCTGGGAAATGCGACCCACTGCCTCCCACATCAGGTGACACTTTGTGCTTTCATGGCTGGCAGTGTCTGCACCTTCCGGGACAATATCCCTGGGAGTGGCTAGCCAGGCAGGCTGCCCTCGGGGTCAGGCCAGCCCCGCTACAGCCAGGAAGCCCACCCAAGCTGGGCGAGAGAGGTGGCCCATGGCCCGCAGGGCAGGTGTCTTGCCTGCTCTGCTATGTAGAAGGTGTGGCTGTTGGTCTCTGGGTGGCGCCAGCAGCAGCGGAAGGTCTCCCCCAAGATGGGGTTGTAGGGCTTCTTGATCCCCTGCCGGGAAGCACGGAGCCAGTGAACAACCAGGCTGGGCCGGGCACGGTGCGCATGGTGGACGCTGGCATCACTGGGAGGGGTCTGCTGGGCTGCCAGCGTCCAGCCACAGCCCCACCACCAGAGTGGCCTGCTGGGAGCCCCGTGCCAGGATTCCATGAGCAAAGCACTATAAAACCCTGCAGCCAGCGGCCTCCTGAGGCCCTGCCCTCTTTCCTGCCTGTGGCAGCCTGAGGCTGTTTTCCTAGGACTGGACCACGCGGGTCCTCTAGAAGCTAGGAACCACCCAGCATCACCTGGCATTCCTAGGGTTCCTCCACAGGAAGCCAGGACCCGCCTTAGTCTCTGAGGACCCCGGCCACAGCGGGGAGGCCAGGACCTTTCAGAATTGTATGGTGGCTCAGGGGACGGGGCTGCGTGGGCAGGGGCAATGGGGGGACGGGGCTTCATGGGCAGAGGGGATGGGGGACGGGGCCGCGTGGGCAGGCTGCTGCAGTCCCTCCGTGCTGGACTTCCTCACCTTGGGCTTCTTATAGAAGCCAGACAAGTACCATCTCAGCACGAGCTTCATGCGGCAGTAGGGGTCTTCCTCCGTGGCTGCCCTGCAGCAGGGTCGGGGCGTTGGCTCCGGGCTGGGGTCCCCTCCATCTTCCCACCCCAGTCCCTTCTTACCACAGGATCTCCCTCTGCTCCACCCACCCTGGCCCTGACCATGACAGGCCAGGAAGCCCTGAAGCAGGCGCGTTCGCAGCCCGTCTCCCGGAGGGGCCACACCACAGGAAGTGGGTTCTCTACCTAACCAGACTGCAGTGGGGCTGCCCGCCTCCAGGAAGCGCCCTGGGTGCACTGCCGCCCGCCCGCCTACCCGCCCGCCCGCCGGGCACCTGGAGAGCAGGTCTGCGTGGTAGTAGTAGTCGGAGAGCTTGTTGAGGAAGGAGCGTGGCTCCAGCACAAACGTGGGCAGCACCACCCGCGACAGGTCCATGCCGGGCCGCAGCTGGCGCAGCAGCACCCACATCAGGTTCTTGTTTTCCTCTGACACTGTCTCCACCTGAGATGCCTCTCCTAGCTGCGGCAGAGGGTCCCCCGTCAGGCCCCGGGAGCAACGTAGGGCCCTGCCGGTGCCTGGAGCTGCTGGAGGGTGGTGGGGAAGGGGGCACAGTGTCCCCAGAAGGAGAGGCAGGAGGTGGGGTGGCATCCCCTGCCCCCCTTCTGTGGCCCCTAAGCCAGCTCTGCAGCCTCAAGAGCCTGGCTTGGCTGTGTCGGAATCCTACCCTGCCCGGCATGATGCCACCAGCCCTTTCCTGCCTACGTATGCCCTCTTTGGTCCCTTGACTCCCCACCCCTGCCCCAAGTCCACATGTGGCCTGACTGGTCCTGGCCAGTGGGGCCTGTCTGTAGACTTCAGTGCCAGCCTCGAGGCCTGGAGCAGGTGGGCATTTGGACCTGCTGATCTTCCCAATTTGTTAGTGGGTGAGGCAGCTGCTTAGAACTTGCGGCTCCAGGGCTGGGAAGGTGGCTCAGGGGTAGAGTGCTCGCCTTGCATAAGCACAAGGCCCTGGGTTCAATTCCTCAGCACCACACAAGCAGAAAAAGCCAGAAGTGGCGCTGTGGCTCAAGCAGTAGGGCACTCACCTTGAGCTGAAGAGGTTGAGGAACAGCGCCCAAGCTGAGTTTAATCCCCACAACCAACCAAAACACACACGCACACACACCACCACCACCACCACCAACAACAACAACAACTTGCTGCTCCATTGAAAAACAGAGAAACAAAAATCAAAAAGAAAAACACTATCACCGGCATCCATGGCACACGACTGCAATCTCAGCTACTTAGGACATCAAAGTTCAAAGCCAGCCTGGGCAGAAAAGCCCATGAGACTCCCATCTCCAATTAACTAGCAAGAAGCCAGAAATGGAGCTGGGGCTCAAGGGGTTAAGTGCTAGCCTTGAGCAAAAATGGCAGGTAAGAAAGAGTTTTGAGCTCTGGGCTGGGAAGGTGGCTCAGTGGTAGAGTGCTGGCTTAGCGTGCATGAAGCCCTGGGTTCGATTCCTCAGTACCACATAAGCAGAAAAAACCCGAAGTGGCACTGTGGCTCAAGTGGTAGAGCGCTAGTCCTGAGCAAAAGAAGTTCAGTGCCCAAGCTCTGAGTTCAAGTGCCAGAACTGGCAAAAAAGAAAAAAAAAAAAGGCGTTCAGAGCCCTAAGTTCAAGCCTCAGCACTGGCACAAAAGTAGAATCTTAAAATGGTTTTGTCTCTGGATGTGGTGGGGCATGCCCTAACCCCAGCTACCCAGAAGGTAGAGGTAGGAGGATCACTATAGGAGGTGGGCTTGGAGCAAAAGCTAGAGATCCTACCTAAAATAGATAAATAAAGCAAAAGAGTTTAAGGTCCTGAGGTCAATTCTCAGTACTACCTTCCCCCTCAGGAATCTGGACTAAGTCTGGTGTAAGGAAAGCCATGTGCATGGCAGACACCGTCCCACCCCTGCAAAGGCCAGCATGACCCATGTGTTTGTGTCACAGGGCAAGAAGAGACATAAACTGGGGCCTCTAGCCTCAGGCTCTTGCTGCCTTCAAAAGGGTTCCAAATGTCACAAACCCACTGAGTCCCGACTGCACCCAGCAGCAGCTCTTTCTCCTAGTGTTCCTCCCACAGCAGCCCCACCTTCTGGCCAGAACCTGGTGAATACAGGTCCAGCCCCACCCTAAACCCGCCCCCTTCCTCTAACCAATCCATGCCAGCCCCATCCTGAGCCTGCCTCTTTCCTCTAACCAATCCATGCCAGCCCCATCCTGAGCAGGGCCCTTCCTCTAACCAATCCATGCCAGCCCCATCCTGAGCAGGGCCCTTCCTCTAACCAATCCATGCCAGCCCCATCCTGAGCCGGCCCCTTTCCCTGACCAATCCATGCCAGCCCCATCCTGAGCCAGCCCCTTTCCCTGACCAATCCATGCCAGCCCCACCTCAGTCCTGCACCTTCCCCTAGCCAATCCACATTCAGCCACGCCCTGAGCCAATCTATGCCAGCCTGGCCCAGAGTCCCCCATTCCCCTGCTCTACCACACCTTGGCAGCTCCCTACCAGGGCTGGGCCAGGCTGGGCCTGCGCCCCCTCCGCCTCCCCTCCCCTGTCGGGGGTCAGGCGGGGACCTCACTCTGCAGGATGCGCACAGGGCTGCTCTGGTGGGGACAGGGCATGTCGCCCTGTGGTGTGGGGCCTGGGTCGCTGGAAGGGGCAGACACTGGTTTATGAGTGAGCAGGTTCTTGACTGACAGGTGATCTCTCCCTTGCATTCACATGTTCTGGCCAGGATGTCTTGTGACACATGACACCTTCAAGGGACATCCCCAGAGGCCAAACACTCGACTGTCTGATCATGAACTTCTAGCTTTCAAAACCTGGGAGCTGAATAAACTCTTCTCTGTAAAGAACCCCCTGTCATGTTCTTTGTCATAACAATGGAAAGTGGAATAAAATGCCATAATAAGAGACCCTAAGAACACAAACCCCCTTTTCTGTCACTCCAGGGGCTGCACAGCCTGTGGAGCTGTTGCTGCCTCCTTTCCACCATCACACCAGAGTGGCTGACTGCTAACTAGAGCCCCGGCTTCACAGCACCCCGAGGGCAAGGCAGCTTACTCCTCCACGTCTCCTAGCTAGTTAAGGACTGGTGCACCCTTCCTTCCTTCCTTCCTCTCTCCCTCCCCCTCCCTTCCTCCCTCCCTTCCTTTCTTTTCTTGTGCTAGTCCTGGGGCTAGAACTCAGGGCTCTAACTGAAGCCACAGCTCCACTTCAGCTTTTTTTGGTGATTGATTGGAGATAAGAGTCTCCCTGACTTTCCAGCCTGGGCTAGCTTCGAACCACAATCCTCAGATCTCAGCCTCCTGAGTAGCTCAGATTACAGGTGTGAGCCACAGGTGCCTGGCTTCTGCATCTCTTCATAAGATGCATGCAGTGTCCGCAGGGTCTCATGGCAGCCACTCAGCCTGGCTCTCTCCTCTACCACAGTGTCCTCTTGGCCGCACTGACCTCTGCCCCTGTCTTTTGGGCTCAGGCATGAATGGTCTCTGTTCCCAGAGCACCATGTTCCCTGTCATTCAAAGATACCCTGACCACCCACGCAGGGCACCCCAGCAGCCTGCCATAAACCCTGTCCCCATGGACCTGGCTCCCGGGCTCCCTGAATCCTTTGAGCGAGTGAAGTCAGCTTTCCACTACCACATCAAATATCAGAGATAATCAACTTATGAAGAGATGAGAGTTAGGAGTTGCAGCCTGTGATCTTGGGCCCTGTTGCTTTTGGACCGCTGGCAAGGCAGCACATCGTAGCAGGAGCATGTGGTTGGGAAAGCCATTCACCTCATGGACGGGAGGCAAGAGATGGGAAGAAGCCAGCCTTCCACAGTCCCCTTTGAAGCCACACCCCCAATGACCTAACTTCCTCCCCTGAGGCTCTAGCTCCTAAAGGCATCACAGCTCCTTCCTAACACTGTGCTGGGGAACAGGCCTTGACTCGGCTACAGCCTGATGGTGAGGGGTGCTCACCCACCAGGACAGTGCTGTCCACTCGCTGAAACAGGGCAGAGACCCCGTGTGCATTCACCAGCACCCACCCGACCTGCCCCCTCACCTCTCCTAGCTCCTCCTGAGCCTGCTCCACGTACGTGGTCCCCCTTGGCAGCGCCCCGGGACTCTCCACCTTGTCGCTTCCACTCTCGTTGGTCTTCTGGCTGTGGTCCTGCGTCTCTGTGTCTGAGTCCTCTGCATTCTCTCGCTCAGACTTGTCTGAGAACGCATCGTTGTCCAGGTGGTTCTCCAGGGAAGATCCGTTCAGGCTGGAAGGTGGAGGGGACTGTGGGTGTCCAGTCAAAGGCCAGTCAGTCACTGGGGAGTCTGGACCCTCACTGTGGGCTTCACACACTGTCCTGTGGCAACAGCCCACAGTGGCAGCATTTGGAGCGACTGCCTCCAGTCTCTGCGGGAGCAAGCAGGGCCTGCAGCAGAGGGACAAGTCGGTAGCCTCCAGGGGCTGTGAATCCGCAGTGGTCGGCTCCCTCCACCTCCCGCCTACAGCGACAGCTTGGGCTGACCATCGCCTGCCTGCCCAGCCACTCACGGGGACAGGTCCTGATCTGGGGGGAGGGCGGTGGAGGCGGGCAGCCCGCAGAGGGAGGAGGGCGACCCATCTGGCGACGACCCCGGCTCCCCATCGCGGCCCTGCTCGCAGGGGCTCAGTCGAGGCAGGCTGGAGCAGCGCAGGGCCAGCTCCAGGGCGTCCAGCCAGCAGCGACCTGGAGAGGGGCCGGACAACAGCGTGGGCCTTCCTCCCCAAACCCTGTCCTCACCACAGACCCCACCCCTCAGCCGAGCCCACCCTGCTGGCCACCCCTCACCCCGCCCCACTGGGGTCCCTGGGGACGCTTCATGTGCACACGCGTGTGCGTTTGCGTGTGGGTGTGAGTGTGGGGGAGCACAGGGCAGAGGTCGGGACCCTCAAGTGTCCGTGGACTCCTGGAGCAGGCTCAGGCAGCTTTCCAGAGCCTCACAAGACATGGCACCGACAGCCCAGGCTAAGGGCGGGACAGTAAGAGAGCCCCAGGTCACACACTCAGAGCTTGCCCTCCACCTGTGGCCGGCCTGCAGATTCCTCCTGCAGAGGGGAGAGGCAGGGTGGGGTGCCAGGGCCCCTGCTGGCACTCACCATCAGACTCGGAGGCGGCCCTGAAGATCAGGTAGCTGCTGGGCAGGGGCTGGGTGATGGAGCCCACACTCTCGCCTTTGGGGCCCTGGAGAGGCAGAGACCCGCTGGGGTCAGGCGCCCACCGGGGTCAGGCGTCCGCCAGGCAGGCCCGGAGGGCAGCAAGAGGGCCGGGCGGAGGCTCCGCCGGGCGGGGCTTCATCAGCAGATGGAGTCCAGGGTGCCAGGTTCTCCCGGTGTCAGGGATGCGCAGGGCGTTCGGGGCGAGTGCATGGCAAGCAGCAGGCGGGCTTCCTTCCGGAGGCCCCACCACCCCACGGCCGTGTGACAAGGGGCAGCCAGGCTTTCGGAAGATGTGTGTGTGCCAACGAGCCGTGCTGCTTTCTGCTTTTGGTCTGGTGTCTGCTGAGTCACAGGAGACAGCAGTGCCGTAGCCGACACTAGGTTTTGGCAGGGGGCTGATTCCACTGTCTGGGGTCTGATGCCAGCGTTCCGTGCGTGTCAGAGGTCAGGGAGGCCGAGCTGGGAGGCCCCGCAGGGCAGGCATGTGAGATGCATGTTCTGTTTGGTATTTGCAACTTACAGTGGGCTTATTCGAATGGGATCTTTTGTGTGTGTGTGTGTCAGTCATGGGGCCTGAACTCTGGGCCTGGGCGTTGTCCCTCAGCTCTTCAGCTCAAGGCTAGCGCTCTACCACTTGAGCCATGGTGCCACTTCTGGCTTTTTCTGCTTATGTGGTGCTGAGGAATCGAACCCAGGGCCTCAGGCATGCAAGGCAGGTGCTCTACCACTGAGCCACCTTCCCAGTCCCATCGAATGGGATCTTAATCATCAGCAAGGGAAGGCCTTTGTTACAAATGCCGTCTGGCAGGGCACCAGTGGCTCATGCCTGTAATCCTAGCTAGTCAGGAAGCTGAGATCTGAGGATCGCAGTGAAGCCAACCTGGGCAGTGAAGTCTGTAAGTCTTACCTCTACTAAACTACCACAACAAGCCTGAAGTGGAGCTGTGGCTTCAGTGGTCTACAGCATCAACCATGAGCAAAAGCTCAAGGGCAGGGCCCAGGCCCTGAGTTCAAGCCCCAGGACCAGCACAACAAAGAAACCGCCAAACCTGGTCACTGGTGTGAGATGTGGAATCTCCCTGAGCTGTGGGGTGAGTTCTGGCTGGGCAGCTCTGCCCCAGGTGCCCACAGCCCACCGTGCACTGGGAGTATGGAGGCCGTGGGCCTGGGGGGGGGCCTCCTTCCGCTATGGACTGCTCCCCCAGCCCGCCTGGTGTGCGGTACCTTCACGGCCCAGACCGACTGGTCGAGCGGGTGGAAGAGCTTGAAGCAGAAGCCGTCTTTCTTGGAGGGGCGCTCGAGCAGCTGGCAGCAGTGCAGCAGGACGGTGCCCACCCAGTGGCCCACCTTGGGGGTCTTGTAGATGAGCAGCACCCCCGGCTTCAGCACGCACCACAGCTTTGTCCAGCTTTTCAGGGTGCCCCTGATCTGCACGGGGGCGGGAGGTCGTGGGGCCTTAGCCGCCGGCCCACGCAGCCTCCAGTCAGAGGCGGGATGGTCTCCTAACACCCACTCCCCGGGGGGCCCCCTGCTGTGACCCAGGCAGGGCCTAGCACTCCCCCGAGCACCAGGACATGAGTTCAAAGCCCCAGGAACAAACAGAGCTCAGAGCCACCCAGCCTGTGACTTCCTTTCAGAGAATATTTTTCGTCTTTGTGCCAGTTCTGGGGCTTGAACTCAGGGCCTGGGCGCTGTTTCTTAGCTTTTTCATTCAAGGCTGGTTGTTCTACTCGAGCCATAGCTTTGCTTCCAGCTTTTTTGGTGGTTAATTGGAGATACAAGCCCTATAGGCTTTCCTGCTGGCCTTGCAGTGTGATCCTCAGATCTCCGCCTGAGTGGCTGGGATTACAGGCGTGAGCCATGGTGTCTGGCTCACTGGCCATGTCTAATTTCATCTTGTGTCTTTCCTTGGTACGTTTTCCTTCACAACTTTGAGGGAGGGGGTCCCACAGAGGCTGGGCTCCCCTAAGGGCTGGATCCTTTAACCTCCACTGTGCAGAGAGGGACCCTGAGGCTCAGAGGCTGACTTGGCCTGACTCCAACCCTCGGTCCTCCCCTGGGAAGCCAGGGGACCCCTCCCCCTTCCCCAGGAAACCAGGACACCCAGGCGTAATGGGGAGGGACGGAAGGGGGGCCCTGCTTGGGCCCCGCCCACCGATGGACATTCTAGCAAGGAGAGGAGGACACAGATGTGGACGGCCCTGTGACCAGAGGCAGTGGGGCGGCAGACGCCCGCGGGAGCAGCAGAGCCTTGGGAGGGGTGGATTTTGTACTGAGGCCACCTGTCACCACAAGCCCCAGGACACTGACGGGCTTGCCGCGACAAGCCCCCGGCAGCGCCCGTACCTTCAGGCTGTCGGCCATGATGACCACGCTGCGGTCGGTCAGGGCGCTGAACAGCTGCTTTGTAGCTCTCTTCTTCTCCTGCCGGTAGCTCTCTTTCTGCGCCTGCATCGGGGGTGCGGGCCCGGGTTACAGGAGCCCCCAGCGACCCCAAATCCTCCCATCACCCGGTCAGCGAGAGGAGAGGCGGGGGGGGGGGTGGAGGGGGGCAGCCACCCAACACGGCCGTGGACCCGCCCATCCGGGGGCTCACCTTGAGGACCTCCTTCTTGGAGACCCTGGCTGTCGGGGACACACACTCCTTGTGAGACCCGGTGTGCACCCTGTGCT